GAGCATAGTGGAAATGACCGCATCGGACAACCCCCGGTCCTTCAGGACCTGGCTCTCAATAGCCACGCCGTCAAAGCCAGCGACTGTAAAGAAGGATGGAACACAGCACCCTGGGACAGAAGATCGGGGCGCAGAGGCAGACGCCACGGGGCGTCCACCACCAGCTGAACCTCGTCCGCGTACCAGGCCCCCCGAGGCCAATCCGGGGCCACGAGGACGACAGTGACGCCCTCGACCGCGATCCGACGCAGCAGCCGAGGCAACAGATACAGTGGAGGAAAAAAAGGTGTAAATTAGACCGTAATGACCCCAAGGGGCCACCAGGGCATCCACGGCCTCCGCCCAGGGTCCAGGGCCCGGGCCACAAACCTGTCCACCTTGCGGTTGAACGGAGACGCCAGAAGATCCACCTCCGGCGTCCCCCAGCGACGACAGAGCTGCTGAAAAAAACCTCGGGTGCAGAGACCACTCCCCCGGATCCACCCACTGTCCACTGAGGTAATTGGCCTGCCAATTGTCCACTCCCGGGATGTAGACCGCCGAGAGAGCCAGAACTCGATGTTCCGCCCAGGACAGAATTCCCGAATACCTCTCGACCCGCGGACACACTATCCACGCCCCCCCGGTGGTGTCCAACGACCCTGCACGGTCAAGGAGCCCAAGACCCGCCCCAGCCCCAAAGGCTGGTGTCCGTGGTGACCACCGTCCAATGCACCGGAAGAAAAGACTTCCCCCGCAGCAAGATCGAAAATTGAAGCCACCACCGCAGGGAGGCTCTCGCCTCCCGAGGGATCCGAATCTCCCTATCCAAAAGACAGGGGGGACTTGTCCTTTCTTTAAGAGCCTTCTTGGAAGTCTGGTCCGCCGACCAGCACTTAAGCCAGAGCAAACGGTGAAGCGTCACCGCTGACACCGACACCCTGGACACCAAGGGCGCCGCATCCAAGGCCGAATTACAGACATAACGAAGGTCTGAATCAACTGGTCCGTCAATTCCACAAGGGCGGGGGAGACGTTCCCCTCCGCAAGACCCTGATGTAACCTTTTAGCCCACTCCGAGTCTGAGAGACCAAGGCCGAAGCCAAGACCGGACACATGAGAGCGCCCGAGAGAGTACAGGGACCGCAAAAAGCGCCACAGCCCAAAGGACTTGGAAGGCTGTTTCCACTCCCTATAAATGAATTTATCAAAAAAAGGAGATGTAAGGAAAACACCTTGGCGGAACGCCTGCTCTAATGCGTCCCAAACTGCACATGCGGCAGCATTGGTCTTTAGTTTTGTACCTAGCGTCCTTCTCCTGCAGGTGGCGATATTACCCTACCATTCAGGATCTACGATCTGTTGCCTGTGTCCTTCAATGAACGGGAGAGAAAAGACTATAGAACTCAACTCAGTATTCCGCAAATTAGGCGACTCACCTCATCATTAAACTGGCCCTGACAATCTGCACAGCCTTTGTCACCCAATATATCCATTTACTATTCTGTGTATTTTGCAATATTCCTATTACAGGGTTTAGGGCAGTGGAACATGATTAAGGGCCCTTTCACACAAGATATGTTGAGCTTCATTATCAGCAGTGATACGTGCAAGCTCAACTCAAGGGTACATAGAAAACAATTGTTTCACATACAAGTGTGGTGATGCGAGTTGCATAGAAATACAGCATGTCTTTATGCAGCAGCGCAATGCACGTCACCGCATATCAACACACAGCAGAGCGTCACAATGTGCCGTGGTGCATAAAGTTGAATAAAGTGGAGTGTTTTTTTGTCTCTTTTAATAAAGTTAAAAAGTAAACAGTAGAATGGGCTTCTACAATGCATAGCACAGCCCTTCAAAACACACACCAGCGCACACATAATATGGAGCATAAAGTCTAACTCCAACCTAATTTTTATTTTTTTAACTTTTGGGTACAGGTTTCTAATTCTGTCTTTGATGCGGCAGAGTTGACTTGTGGCTGTCTATCTGTGACAATGTACAAGGCCACCTTTAAAGTAATGCCTCTCCATTCAAAAGGCTAACAATCTAAGTTTTAGTCCAAACAGTGGCTTACAACTAGATTTAAGTCTCGCAGTAGATGCTCGTAACCTACCCAACTGAACACCTACTGCATAATTTACTTTCCGCAGGCATGCAACAAAGCAGATGTTGCCTAATTCATGTTATTAGGAAAGGTACAGTCTACTAATGGAATTTGTTTGAATGCTGCAGTTTTCATATGCCACTTATCATATGTGAATGGGGTTCGAAGGATGGCGAAGGTTGGGGACCTCTTTTTGAGTGAATGCTGATAGACTACGGCTACTGTGCGGTTTCTAAAATAAACTTTCTATATCAAATGTTTGTTTAGAACAAACTTTAGATTTCTCACAGAGAACCCTGAGCACTGAATCATGTGGTAGACTCTGAATTCACATGCAGGCTGCCAGACGCTGGCTGCCGACAGTCACAGTATGTACCTTGGCACTGCTCCCAAAACTATGAGGTTAGCTTTCTGTTTGTTGTTTCCAATCACTGCGTTTTTCATATCTCTGTTGATTTAAAAACAAAAAGAAAATCACAAAAAACAAGACCAGAACTCTTTATCAATATTATAAGACAAACTATTTTTAATCACAGTGACTTTTTTAAAAATCAAGAAAGCAATGAACATGTATACAGTATAGTTCAAAAGGCACATAAGAGGAGAATTTATCAAAACTGGGACAGAATGTGGGGCAGGTGCCCATTGCAACCAATCAGCTTCTATCTTTCATTTTCAAAGCTTAACAAACTGAAGAGAGAAGCTGATTGGTTGCCATGGGCAACTAATCCAGTTTTAGTCTGCTCCAGTTTTGATAAATTCCTCCCATTAGTATCTGGATTGAGGTTTTCATAACACTGTTTAAACAGTTCAACAGAAAATCACAATATGATTTGCAACTGGATAAAAGCAAGGCGGATAATACAATAGTTCCCAACCTATGTAAAAGCCTTGCTATATCAAAAGGGCAACATTCCTCACCTCTTCCCACTGGATGAAATGGGGTGCGGATGTAGACAAAGTAATATGCGCCACTAGTTTCGCAACACTTTCATGTACATAAGTCATTAAAGCCTAGATACACAGGCCAAAATTAGCAGCCTCGGCATGTGTAGGTTAACTTGACTATAACCCTGTGACCTATTTGAATACCTAAATAATTCTATATATACAGTGGTACCTCGATTCACGAACTTAATTCGTTCCGCAATTCTGGTCGCAAACTGATTTGGTCAAGAAAACCGAATCAAACCGCGATCTCATCTAGAGGAAGCCACAACCATGTTTCAGAGCAGGGAAGATGGCTGCGGTTGTGTTCGTCACCCGAAGTGGAGTTTGCGAACGGAAGCAAAATTTTGCCGAACTTCTAGTTCGCAAACAAGAGCGTTCGTGAAACGAGGTACCACTTTTCAAGTGGTAGTTTACCTTTGAAAACAGAAATCTACATTTAACATTCAAATGTAATCCATGTTGTCCCTCCCCCCTGCGACGTCAGATTCCCACCTACTACCTTGAGGTACAATGGGAAAAAACGTTCTTGGACTGCACTTTAGCTCTATAGGAAACAATGATAGGGGCAAACACGCATGTAAGGACTGCTTGGGAGGGCATTACTCATCACTGTGAATAACTGACTGCATGCCCTTTGACTGGTTGAATCCAAAGGTTTATTTCCACCTTAAGGAACATATAAAACATTTATTTAGAACACAGTTTTATGAAACAAAACCCTGCTTTGTGTTTCTTATATTCTGACAAATGCACAAAAATGTTAAGAAAAAGTTATGTAATGTATTTAATATTTTATACTGTAATTGTATTGGGCCATTACAGTATTAAATATTTGGAACTATGCTATCTTCAAGCTGCAAGTGACATCTGCAGTCTGAAAGATTACATTGCGATTACTACGTAACTGACATAGTGATGATATATGTTCAAACATTACTGGGACCTGAAGTTTTCAGTGAGGTTGATATAAAAAAGTGGTGCTCTAACTGACTGCTCCGAGTGTCCATGGTGCAGGAATCCCTAGTTGTACCTAAACTTACAGGTGTGAATGAAGCCTAATAGGGCCCCCCTATACACAAAAAAATACTACCCCTGTAGATATTACATAATACACATTAAAAAAAAATCCTGCACATAAAATAAAACACAGAGGCCCCTCTCCTGCTTACCTTTTTGCAGGGAGGAGGCTGTGAGGAGGAAGATCGATCCCTGGTGCTCTAGTGGGTGATTAGTAGTGTCTGCTGCAGACCTCACTAATCCTTCCTTTCGGCCAGAAATAAGAACTCTGCTCCAGCTGAAAGGATCTGAGTGCCAGCGGTGACAAGAGCAGCCCTGCGGTCTGCATCCAACAGAGATACAGACCGTGTAGCTGCTCCTGCAAGTCAGGTACGCTGTCTGTGAACACATACCTGACTTGTGAGCTGCCTGCGGGCCACATAGTACCTGGCTCGCGGGCCGCAATTGGCCCGCA